ATTGACTCATATTAAACAATATTTAGTCCCCCAATCTATAAAACATGGTGCCAGTATATTGAGATATCTGTTAGTAGAAGCACTGACCCTGTTGATTATTCTTAGGAAATCCCTCATCTCTCTCACTCTCTCTCTCTTTTTAAAATTTATTTATTTATTTGAAAAAGCAGAGTTACAGAGAGGAGGGAGATCATACATCTGATGATTTACTCCCCAAGTGGCCACAACAACCAGGGCTGAACCAGGCTGAAGCCAGGAGCCAGGAGCTTCTTCCAGGCCTCCCACATGGGTGGCAGGGTCCCGAGTCCCAGGGCCATCGTCCACTGCTTTCCCAGATGCATTAGAAAGTAGCTGGATTGGAAGTGGAGCAGCTGGGACTGGAACCAGCTCCCATGTGGGATGCAGGCACTGCAGAAGGTAGCTTTACTCCCTGCACCACACGCTGGGTCCCCCTCTTCTCTTCTTTGCAGGATACTACAGTCCCCTGGCTTTTTTTACTTTTCTTCCTGGTCTCCTTGATGAGCTTTTCTTTCCCTAAAATTTAAATTCTTGCCAGTTTTTTAGGCTCTAAGTTTGTCTTCTTTGCCAGCCCCCTTACCAATGTGATAAAGAGTCCCTTCTTAGAGCAGTGAGTAAACATCACCACACCACCCTTTATTCCAGGAGATTGTAATTGAATATTTACTTGCTGGTTCTTCCCCCACACCAGAGCGGACTGCAACCTAGCTCCTGACTGATAAATTGATCATGTTTTTACTGTGCACACTAAACACGTGAAATTCTGACCTAGTAGTTTAGAGGAATGATACTAATTGTGATTGTTAATTTTACGGCTCAACTCAACTGGGCCAAGGATGCCCAGAAATTTGATTAACACAATTGTCTGTGAGATTGTCTGTGAGAGTGCTTCTGGGTGAGATCAGCATTTAAATCAATAGACTCACAAAAGCAGATGGGCAGATGGCCCTTCCTACACGGCGAGCCTGAATAGAACCAAACGGATGAGCCTCCTACAAGTAAGAGTGAATTCTCCTGTCTTATTGCCTTTGAGCCGGAACTTGGATTACCCTCTGCCTTTGAACTCCATCTGAAATACTGACTTTTCCCAAGTCTTGAGCCTGTTAGCCTTAGAACACCACCTGCCCCGTCGGCTCTCCTGACTCAACACTTCAGACTCCCCAGTGACTGAGTCTGCAGTTCACCTTCTTCATGATTTCATGAGTGAATTCCTTATAATAAATCTCTCTCCACATGTGAGGAAGGTCTTGAGAAAGTTCATAGTAATGCATATGATGAAAAAATGATACTTGGATTCCAAAGTGTTCTTTGCATCAAAATACACTTTTCATGTCATTTTCTATTAACATTTCTGAGGTACCCTTGTGTAAATCCACATACATACATATATATACACAACTATGTATGTACAAGTATGTATGGGTGTATATAAGTACAGTTAGCGCTCTGGGTTTAAGTTCCAAATGCTCAGATTCAACCAACCTTAGGTTAAAAATATGTTTGGGAAAAAAAGTATCTGCTAAACATGTACAGACTTTTTTCCTTGTCATCATTCCCTAAACAATACATTATAACAACTGTTTATGTAGCACTTACATTATATTAGTTGTTATAATTAATCTGGAGATGATTTAAACTATACAGAACATGTGAGTAGCTTATATGCAAATACTACTCCATTTTCTATGAGAGACTTGAGCATCCAAGGATTTTGGTACCCATAGGGGTTTCTGGAACCAATCTGCCACAGACACTGAGGTATGATACACACACACACACACACACTCTCTCTCTCTCTCTCTCTTTCTCTTCAGATGTTTTTATGTATTTTATGTTTTGCCTTTCTGGAGAATCCCAATAAACAAAGCTTGTGTCACAAGCTCCAGGGAAATAATTGATGCCGATGGTGAATTTTTACTTATTCTACTTATAATTTAGTGTTTTATTAAAGTGATACTATCTAACCTGTTTATCTCTGCTGTTTCCTTTTTTTAACCTGAATGCCAGAATCTTCTAAAATGCCCTAAAGCTAAGCAAGCTATGAGGAGCAATGGCCTCAGTGGTTTTTTTTTTTAAGATTTATTTATTTATTTGAAAGGCAGAGTTACACACAGAGAGAAGCAGAGGCAGAGAGACAGAGACAGAGACAGAGACAGAGTCTTTCATCCACTGTTTCACTCCCCAATTGGCCATAATGGCTGGAGCTGCACTGATCCAAAGCCAGGAGCCAGGAACTTCTTCCTGGTTTCCTATGCAGGTACAGGGGCCCAAGGACTTAGGCCATCTTCTACTGCTTTCCCAGGCCATAGCAGAGAGCTGGATCAGAAGTGGAGCAGCTGGGACTCAAACTGGTGCCCATATGGGATGCCAGCACTGCAGGCAGTGGCTTTACCCACTATGCCACAGTGCCGGCCCTGGCCTCGGTGTTTTAATTTGATCACACAATCAAAACCAAATAATATTTAGTATCAATGCATAGGGGTGTTTTTTAGAAAGCCTTACTTTATCCACACCTTCATGTGTACACACAAAATCATCATAAAACAAAGTCACTTTCATTTATTCTCCAAGTCATCATATGGACTTCAGAAAAGTTGCTACTCTGTCCAGGTGATCATTTTATATTAAATGATACCTAGTGTAAGGGTTAGCCAAATAATGAGGTGGTTGACTAGTTTTTAAAATGAGCATAGTTTAATGCCTCAGCTTTTATTAATTGTGTGGGCCCCTAAAAAAAAACAGAGCAATTGAAAATTTAATTACATCAGTGTTTTTCTTCAAAGAACTGAAGCTTATTAAACTTTAAATATTAAAAGCATTTAAGCATCTATTAAAATACCTATAGCTATAAACAATGTGCAGGTCTAAATACTAATTAAACAAACTCTAAATCACCATAAAGCGAAGCTGAATTTTAAGTAACTATTATGTTTTAATGCTCAGCTCTTACACAAGGAAGATTAACCATTTCACTACTGACCACTGCTGCAGCCTTATGCCTCTCTTTTAAAAAGCTGTGGCTGTTTGTTGAACCACATTCTTCCCCAACCTGGAAGAATGAAGACAGGGAAGAGAGAGAGATTGATTAGTAAACTGGAACACTATGCTAATGCCACATTGGTACTCATAGAGACCCCTCCTCATACTGCTCCACTCCCCATCCTTACTCAGCCATTCTATTCCCCACCTCCCACGCCTCAATCCATGCCAGTAACTGGGATTTATTACAATATCCTTACTGCATTTCTTTTCTAAAAAATAAATTTTGTTAGTTCTTCATTTAAATAGCAAAATTGTATATCTTATCACCCTGATACATTTGTAACCATCCTTTTTCAGGGTGGTTTAGGTTTGAACTGGTGCATATTTGGAATGCCAGAAAATAAGGTAGCAGCTTTACACAAGGTACCAAAGGCTGGCCCCAGATGCAGTCTCTTACTTGAAAATTTCAGTGGATAAATATAAAAAGTGCGTAAGTCATTGCATATGATGACATGAATGAATAGAAGAAATCCCCCAGACACTATCTAGCTTGAAATACAAAGAAAAGACTGCCAGCTCCCCTAAGAGTTTGAGGTGATGGGAACCCACCCTGAAACTGAACAACCCAGGCCCCCATGGAATGACACCCTTAGATAGAAGCCAAGGAATTGGGGCCTCTGTGGAAGGGCATGTGTGCCATCCCCAGGATCAGCACCTGAGGCCAGAAGTCAGCCCCATGCCATGTGTCCTCTGCCCCGACCTATCGTGGGAGACAGTAGGCCACGGATGCATTCTTGAGGGAAGGGATGGCCCTTCTCTTCTCTCTGATAACCCAAACGTTACACAGCACCTTTTCCAGAAAACAGTCTAATCCAGGTCTTGCCAAGCTTGGCATCTGATGAGAAAGTGCTAAGAAACAGGAGCAGGTGACCAACCACTCTGGGACAGCAGAAATCCATCATTCCAGAAATGACCAAGAAGATGAGATTAGGAGACAAGACCTTGAAAAGAGGTAAGCCTAAACATGCTTCAGGAGTTCCAGGAGAACAGATGCACAAAGAGAAGAGAAACAGAAGGGGTCATCATAAGATAGAACCAGAAAAATGGAACTTGGACTGTAGAGAGATACAGTATACTTTTTCTTTTCTTCCTGCCTTCGTGCCTTCTGCCTTCCTCCTCCCTACCTCCTCCTTTCCTCCTCCCTTTCTTCATTCTTTTCTTTCTTTCTCTCCCTTCCTTCCTTCCTTCCTTCCTTCCTTCCTTCCTTCCTTCCTTCCTTCCTTCCTTCCTTTTTTCAGATTGTTACTTATTTGTCTGGAAGTCCGAGTTGAGGTAGGCGGAGACCCAGCAGTCTTCCTTCTGCTCGGTCACTCCCCCGTTGGCTGCAGTGGCTAGCACTGGAGCAGGCTGAAGCCTGGAGCTGGGCGCTTCCTCCAGATGTGCCATGTGGCTGCAGGGACCCAAACACTTGGGCCATCCTCTGCAGCTTTTTCCAGGTCATTAGCAGGGATCCACATTGAAAGTGGAGCAGCCAGGACTCGAAAGAGCAGCATTGTTTCCAAGAAGGAGAAGGACAAATCTACTCTCAGGAGAAATCACACACACAGAGACAGTGAGACACACAGAAACACACACAGAGAAACACACACAGAGGTCCAGGTTGAGTGCTTTATGTCTTTATTAGTCCATGAATACACAATCCAGGAATACACATTCACTCCAACCATTTCATACTGTACAAAGGAACCAGTTACTAACTCGAGGACAGTTGATCCTAATCACCTCGTGGAATCTAAGGCATGCCACCCTGTGAATCCGAGTGTCCCCCAGGCAGGATCCCAGGAGAGGCTTTGAACTGGCAGGATTCAGAGCCCACCCACCGTTCCCCCAGAGCGACTGACTGACTGACGGTGGTTTCTCTTTGGAGTTCTCTGGCCCCACGCACACTGCCTTGACTTCCCCCACTCGCCGCCCCTCTGTGTCCGCGGCGAGTCCTGGGTTCACCTGCGGGAGAGTGTCTTCTTGTAGTCTCGCATTGCTTTAGCCATGAGAGGGGCAATTTTCTTGGGCGCCTGCTTTCTGGTGCTGCCCCCAGGCGCCCAGGTAGCAAGTCTTGTGCTTGGGCCCAGCTGGGCTGGCCTGTCCGCTGGAGGGGGAGAGAGGCTGCTGTCGCTGTGCTGGGTGCTGCGGGGAGCCCGGTCGCTTCCTGCGGGGCCCGGGGCACGCGGGGCACTCGCTCCTCCTGTTGGCAGCGCGTCCTGCCTCCCGGGATCATCCCCAGCAGGCCCGGGCATCCCGTGGAAACGGATCATCTTGGTCTGCCTGCCTTTGGGCTTGCTGGCGTGTGTAGCTCGGATGACGGCCGTGAGCTCTTGCAGGTGCCGCTCTCGGGCGCTCTGAAGGCGCAGGTACATCTGCCGCCACGACTCCTGCTCTGCCGGTTTCTCACCCTTAAAGTCTCGGTGACAGTGCCTTTTCCATAAGGGATCTGTTTCTTCAGGGAGTTCGGGGTTGTCTCTCTCTGCACGCTGTAGCTCTTCAGGCGTGTGCTGCTCCAACAGAGGTCCCAGGTGGCTGTGAGGGACTCCTCTCCCAGCAGAGGGGGACGCGATGGGTTCCAGTTCCGGGATGCGCATTTGGCTCTCCGTCATCCCTCGGGTTGAGTGCCTGGCACCGGCATAGACTTGCGTCTTCGGATGGACTCTGCGACCCGCACATCCAGCGTCTTCCTCCTGCTGGGCTGCAGAGGGCGCTTTTCTCCTGGGTGGGCAGAAAGCCATCCGGTGAGAGGGACCGTCCCTGGCCTGGGTGCTGGGCGCGGCGGCAGGGGTCGAGTCTTCCAGCTTGGCCGCATGGGCCCTAGCCGGCTGCAGCTTCCCTTGCTGGCTGTGGGTCACCTCGGGGCCTTTCTGAACCCAGTCCACTCCTGGACCGTGGCTTGTGGGCTCTGCTGGCTGAGGTCCTTTCCCTCGGAGGGCGGCGGCCCAAGGTCTCCCCGCCTTTCTCTTTTTCTTCTCCAGCTGGTCGTAGGTCAGGTACGCTTCAAAGGACACACTGGGCTGGTGCGGTAGCTCCTCCCCGCCGCCGCTGGGTTGCTCCTCAGCCTGCGGGAGGAGGCCTCCTGACGCGCTCGCCAAAGTAGGAGCTGCCAGTTGGCCATGTGCGGCCTCGACGTGGGTGGAGATGTCTTGCAGCCCGGGCCGCGGGTCTTCTGGCCCGGTTCCGAGCTGGAAGCTCTGAGGGTGTTGCCGGGTCTTTTCTGCCCGGCTTGCCCGCGAGTCTTTGCGCTTGGCCTTGCCGGGCTCATCTGCAGCCAGCTGCGGGAGGGACCAAAGTTGAGTGCGGGGGCGCCCTGAGGCCTGCTCCGCCGGGACCCCCGAGGCTGGGGGGTTCCCCTTGGCTCCGCCTCTGGAGTTTTCCTCCCGGGACACGCCCCTGGATGAGAGCTGGCTGAGGGAGGCAGGGGGCGCCTCCCCTGCCTTGGCCCTCAGCGGGCCGTTCTCCCTGGGGGTCGACTTGAGGGTCTGGCCTTGGCTCAGCGCCGCTTTGCCCTGGGCTTCTTCCCGGTGTTCTTCCGGCAGGGGGCCGGCGCCGTGGTGCTGGGCCCTCGCGGGCCTCTCTGCAAGCTGGCGGAGGCCCGCGGCAGGTGCAGGGTCCTCCTCCTGCCAAGTGGAGGCGTTCGCCGACTCCTGGGACTCCTGGGACTCCAGGGCTGGGCGGGCAGAGCGCGGCAAGGCTGGGCGCGGGCGCGAAGGAGACTCGAGTGTCCGCGGCTGGAGCTCGGAGAACCTCCTGGGCCTTTTGTGTCCGTGGGCAGGCTTGGCGGGCTGGCTGCCGACGGCCGCCCCGGATTCTGGTGCGCCTCTGTCTGCTTGCTCCTCGTCGTCGTCGTCGTCGTCGTCGTCGTCAAGAGCAGCCCACGGCCGCTTTCGCGAGTGGCTGGGTGGCGAGCCTTGCTGGGCCCGCCCAGGGCTTGGCTGCACGCGAGTCAGCTTCTTCCACCGGGCCGCCAGGTCCCTGGCCACGCTGCCCACGATCTCGTGTCTTCGCAAGCCCTTCACGGTCTTCCGCACGCGGGTCTGTGCCAGAAGGTCGGCGGTCATGGGCAGGGCCGAGAGTCTTCTCAGATACTTGCGGAGTTTCCGGGGCTTGGTGCTGGCGGCCAGGCGTGCGTGCAGCCGCCTGACCTCTTGCAGCGGCCATTCTGCCTCCATGGCTGTGGGGACTGGCTCGGGGCAGCGGCTGGCTGGATGCGGGGCGCCGGGGTCTTGCTGAGCGCCGCTGGGCTGGCCTGCTCCTGGGCCCTCGGGTGGCAGGGCCGCGGGTGCAGGTGGTGTGCTGTGCCTGGCGGCTCAAGCGCTCTGGCTGCAGACCCTGACCCTGAATAGCCTTAGGCTCCACCCCCTGCCGGCGCCAGTGGGTCACGCCCTGATTGACGCCGCGGGCAAGCATCTGTCCCTGCGCTGCCCCGCCCACTGCCCGAGGCCCTCACCGCTCCTGATTGATTGATCGACTGGTTTCGCAGTCCGGACCACTGTTAAGACCGAGCCTGCCCAGGGTCCTGCTCCACCAGTTGTGATGCCCCCTTGGAGATGGGCAACGGGGACTCTAGGTGGTCGGGGAAACGCGCGCCAAGTCCCCTCCCCTCCGAGTGAGAGGCTCAGTGACAGGAACCCGCCCCGAAACTCAGCAGCCCAAGCCCCCATGGAGTCGCACCCTTGGATAGAAGCCAAGGAATTGGGGCCTCTGTGGAGGGGCGTGTGTGCCGTGCACCGGATCAGCGCCTGAGGGCAGAAGTCGGCCCCGTGGCCGGGCGTCCGGCTGTCCGCCACCCCGCCCCATCGTGGGAGACAGCGGGCCACGGATCCATTCTTCTTGAGGAATGGGATGGCCCTTCTCTTCTCTCAGATGACCTGAACGTTAGCCCTAAAGCCTGAGCCAGACCCCATCATTCTCCTGCTCCTGTTTGAAAGGGGGTTTAGCCCTCTGCTTTCAACTAGGAGGATGCCATGGGCACCATATCGGCTCCTCTAGCACCCCTCAATGTGGAGTTATTTTGCAACTGGTTCATAGTGTTAAGCATGAGCTTTGGTAACACAGAGATTACAATTCCTTATGCTTTTTCAGTGTTTTAATAACAGGTCCTGTAAGTGTGTTGTGTTTATTGGGCTGTACAGGCTGCTCTGAAATTCGAAATATATCTAGCTAATTCTATTTCTTATTTAAAACAAACGCCCCTTTGCATCTAGTACTTGTTTTATGTTCCTGAGCATGGTTGACACATTTTGACCCCTTTTTTATATGATAAATATTCTTCCTGGATATGTAGTTATTGTTTTTGATAGTTCTAGTGTTTTTTCAGGTTGTGCAGCATTTGAAATTGAAGAATTTCGTGGTAGAATCCATAGAGAATCAGCTAACAAACAAAATAACAAATTAAAAAATTAGAACCTATGGGTATATATGTATATTTTCAAGGTTTTAACTGAATATTAGATGCAGGGACTGCAAAATAGAACTATAATAAAAACTTTTGAAAGAAGAGATGTGTCCTTTTTAACTGTTTGTTTTTGAGTTGGAAAGCTTAATGCAAAATTCAGATCTTATTACAGAAATTGAAATGAGTGCATGCAAATTAATCTCCATTGCACCCGTAAAAAGGAAATTAAAAGCACTAATGTTGCATGTGGTGTATATAAAGTGACATTTCCTAAGCATCTTCTGGGCCTAAAACTGGGAATGATATTCAATGCTTCCTTTTCCTCAGGCTATAGTATCATAGGATTCAATTTTGAATCTGATAATGCAGGCATTCTTGTGACACAATAGCCCACCAAGGAAATGAAGGAAGAAGAAAACAGCCCGACTATTGAAACAGGCAAATGAGACCCCTCAGTTAGATGTTCACTTGTGAGCCTCCTTTCTTTGGTAGACAGAAATTAATTGAGCATCTAATTGTGTCCATTATACAGGCATGGCATTTCTTCCAGTTGAAAATGACCATTTGTGCGTGGCTCATTCGTAGTTTTTCAAGTCAGAAGATCATCTTCAATGCTAATTTGAATGACATGGGTAGAAAGATGTTGTATATCTGGCAAACTTCACTCCTTTAATTAACAAGTTTTTAAGACCACATTCTGTGTTTCAGATATCCGAAGCCCATCTCACATATTTTACACTTATGTGTTTGAGTAGTGGCTCTTTATCTCTATCTCTTCTCTACACTCACTAAATTCTACATTTCCACCAAACTTGTCTCAAAGTAAAAGGGACACTATTGTTCCAAGGCCTGATGACCCCAAGTGCCAGCAGCCTCACGACTGGTGTGGTAGAAAACCAGTTTTGAAGTGGTCTGATCACCAAACAGAATTCTAACAGACTGAACCATCCTTTAATCTCATCTGGCATAGAGATCAGTACTCTTTGGCAAACTTTGTGATTCTACTCATGAAGACCACGGACAGACTTGATTGGAGTGGGAACAGCTATCCTTCTCCAGGAATGTTATCAAAACTCTGCACAAGCCTCTTTGTTAGGCTGCTTATATTTTGAAGAATATGGTCAACATTGCTCGAATTTATTTAGCATCCGGAGGTCCATCCACCCCCCGCACTGGAGTTTCCCTTTCCTACCCATCCTGATCACTTGTGCTCACTGGGTTAATGATTCATTATTTAAACAACTACAAGGATTCTAAAAAGAATTTGCAGGGTTGATGTTGTGGCTCCTGGGTTAAACTATTGCATGCGATGCCCCATCCCATATGGGAGCATCTGTTTTTGTCCCAGCTCTTCTGCTTCCAATCTAGCTGTCTGTTAATGTGCCTTGGAAAGCAGTCAAACATGGCCCATGTACCTTGCCCCTGACATCCACATTGAAGACCTAGCTGTAACTCCTTTGAATTTTGCTATGGTTTGGATACAGGTTTGGGTTTCCTATAAAGGTGGTTGTGTTAAATCATTTATCTCCAAAGTCTTAAAGGAATGGATTAAGTGTCGTAATCTATTCCAATTAAGGGTGGGGTGGTTGAGAATGGATTAAGTTGGTAGGGTGGGGCTTCTATGATGAATCCCATGATGGTTTTGTAAGGAGAAGACCATAGACATAGAGGATAAATATTTGCTCTTGTTCTCACTCTTGCTGTTTCTGTCTTCCATTGCTTTGACCCATGTGATTACGAGACAATGCAATTAGATCCTCTAACTATGGAGGGATACGGAAATCATTAGAAATGGGGCAAGTCAGTGTCAAGTGTAGTCTCTTTTAAAATGTATATAGTTTCTAAAACTCTTAAGGTGCATTTCAACCCTTGTTTTTTTCGAAGAGCTTTCATGCATGTGGGCTGGGTTAGGTTTATTTTCTGCAGTTTTGTGACTATTCAGCAATTAACATGCAGAATCTCCTATGAGATACACTACTCTTGGTGCAGCAGGATGGTTAATTTATGGAAGGAAATCTAGCTGATAATTGCTTCCAAATGGTCACTAATAGAGTGAGATATTAGACCTGAGGAATTTTGAGAGATATCATTTGTTACTATGTCAGGTCAGCTAATGAAGATTGGCAGTAACCACACTAATAATGTTTTTGGCTAATATGGCACTCAGCTTTTGGCAAATTAAAATAGTGGCTTCTCTCTGATCTGGAGTGGATGTGGAAGAGTGGGAATGGAAAATGAAGAGAGGGAGTTGTTGAAGGAGATGAGCTCTTGAAGAGTTGACCCAGGAGCCAGGGTTCTGTCCCCAGATATTTGCAGGCTTTAAAACATCCCTTAGCTATTCGGATCCTGAGGGTCCTGAGACCCAGGCTCTCCAGGTAGCTTCTTGACGTCTAAATTCTGAACCTAAACACCAAGCAAGAGCTTCAAAATTTGTATATTTATTGTATTTATTTTATTTTTATTTAAAAAACTATTTATTTGAAAGACAGAATAATGGAGAGGGAGAGGGAGGGAGGGATAGAGGGTGAGTGAGGGGGAGAGGAGAGATACTGAGACCTTCCATCTGCTGGTTCACTCCCCAAATGACCCCAAAGGCCAGGGCAAGGTCAGTCTGAAGACAGGAGACTGGAACTTCATGAAGATTTTCAGCATGGGTGGAAGGGGCCCAAGCACTTGGGTCATCCTCCACTGCATTCCCAGAAGCATTAGTAGAGAGCTGGATTGAAGGTGGAGTAACCAGGATTCAAACTGGGCTCACATATGGGATACCGCTGTTGCAGCTGGTAGCCTAACCTGCTATGCCAGCCTGAGAACTCATATGTTTAGAAACATGGCCCATGGCTGTTTAATATTTATATTTCGCAAATTTGGTTTGGATTGAATTCTATGATGAGTGTCATCTTGGCTATGAGAAAGATAGTAACTTTGGGACTACCTAAATTCCATGAAGTGCTTTCCCTCCTAATACACTAGATGGCACTGTAAGTGAGGCAAATCAAATTAAAAATTTAAAAAAGGAGGGAAAGACTACTAGTCAGTGCTAGTTTTGGCAAATTAGAAAATATTCCATTGTTATCAAGAGTTGTTTTGTCAATATCTTCAGAATGATGAGTGAAAATGGCCAGTGATGAATATCTTAATATCAGTTTGGATATTTGCTTTCAAACTTTGTTTTACAGTGGCCAGCTATAAACTTAAAGAAGGATTTGGTACACAAACAGCCACCCATGGCACATTCATACACACACACGTAAATGCAACAAAAGTTTCCTGAAGCAATATAGAATCTTCCTCCCTGTTATGCATTCTGTGTGATAATTGCAGTTCACCAAACTATGCTGCTTGTAACCAATTAACTGGATTTCAAGACCCGTAGTTTGAAAAATAAAATAAAATAAAAACTGGGGCCAGCATTGTGGCGTAGCGGGTAAAGCTGCCTTCCCAGGATGCTGGCATCCCATATGAGTGCTGGTTCAAGTCCTGGCTGCTCCTCCTCCAGTCAGCTTCTTAATGGTCTGGAAAAAACAGTTAAAGTTGATGCAGATAGTTCAGGTCCCTGGGCTTCTGCCACCCATGTGGAAGACCTGGATGAAGCTCCTGGCTCCTGGCATTGGCCTGGCCCAGCCCTGGCTAAAGCAGACATCTTGGAAGTGAACCAACAAATGAAAGATCTCTCTCTCTCTCTCTCTCTCTCTCCTTCTGCCTTCCTCCCTCTCTGTAACTCTGAATTTCAAACAAATGAATAAACCTTTAAAAGGGGGGGGAGTTATCAAA